GATGTCACCTTTCCTGGTATTTTTTTTTTTTATCCACAAGTCTATAAATTAGAGTTTCATACCACATTCTACTTAGAAGCTCTGTTCCTTCTAATGCTTACATAGTTCTACATTTTTAGTAGCAGGAGCTGCACTGTAAATATGAATGCATATTAAATAATTGATGTATTTTCTTCACAAGACAAGTAAAAAATACCCTAGGGATAGAGAGAAGGCAGGAAAGAGGATAAAAGTGTATCACGAAGATCCTCTGAGAAGATTAAATGATATAACAGACTGTTAAAACTCCAGTGACAGCTGCAGGGACCTTCAGGTGCTGGGATGTAAATATAGCAGAAGCCACTCCACCAATGAACCCCACAGCATCTGCTTACAGAGCTGGTCCTCCCCAATGTCCCTCCATACTGTGGAAGGGGATAAGGTCCCAGTAGTGTGCACAAAGAACTGGCTGGGAAAGACAGTGTGGGTTACACTTTCCTTGGGAAACGGCAAACTCATTTGTGGGATTTCTGTTGCTCAAGGACTTCTGGTAGTAATACAGAAAAGATGGGGAAATCTAATGCGTATCTCAAGAAAACTGAATCGTGAGAAAATTACCCATAATTTGAGTTCTTCAGACATATGATGCTCTACAGTCATTTGAGCCAATTTCTTAGTCACTTAAGTGGAGACTTAATTGCATATTTTTGTCTATCCGCTCCTAGTAATATGTTACTAGACTTCTCAAAGACCCCATGTTTCAATTTTGTTTGAACTCCACAGAAAAAAAAAAAAACCCACCCAGCCAGAAAATAAACAGCCAACATTTGAGCATTCAGTACTTATACTCCACTAAGAAATACATTTTCATTGTAGTAAGGAACAACAGCACCTCTTCTACAAAGAACAGAGTTTAATGCAAGTGAAAGTGAAGCACACATTTCTGATCGTCAGGACAGAAAATATCCAAATAACACAATAAGGCTGACACACAGAGGGTGGGATGCTTCTTCAGAATGAGAAACCTGGCAAGTGGGGAAGAAGGAAATCACAGAAGAATGATACCAACTTCATTATTTTCCTCTCACCAAGTAACTGAATATTTCACCAAACTTATACCCCTATTTGCCAGGATCCAAATGCTAACAGACTGACCCCCACTTAGAGAAGTCCAACGATTTCCTCTGAAAATCCATTATCTCCCAGAATCACTGAGCAGAACACAATGAACACAAAGTATACATGCCAGCTCTCAGGATCCTTCTGCTACCGCACCTTCCTGACTGACATTAAAACAGATAGAGCGAGCTAATATTGGAGATATAACGTTCTCAATCCCATTATCTTTAGCAGCATGCTAAACAAAACAAGAACGCTAAATTACTCATAATTAGATTTTACCTCCTCAAACTCTATTCAGCCTTTACCAAGCTACATTCTGTAGCTACACTTGTAAGCTTTTCCACCCCCCTTCCACTCCACAGTAAAAAGAAAAATGAAAAGAAAAAAGTGCACATCATACCATGCTAAGGTCCTACTGAAAGAAGGCTTGATATAGGAATATTAAACAACTTTGGAGCTGCCTGTACCATGCCTCCCTGGCATACAAAGAAGCACTACAATTCAATTGAAGTAATTAGATTTTTTAAAATCAGTTATCAAGGTAACTTGTTCAGTAAAAGTGACAGATCAGAGACTCTTGTCTGCCTCGTAATATTAAATGATAGAACAGCAACTTGTTTTAAGCATTCAGAAAAAGTCCTGCCTATTAAAATGCACTGATAATATAACAAGCCCTATGCAGCAGTGCTTTAGGTTATGAACAGACCTCGTTTATTCAGATTTCTAAATGAAAAGAGACAGAGACACAATTAGACATCCATCTTACATCACCACTTCTACCAGCACATATAAAAAAATAAATTTAACTAGCAGAACATTAACTCCCCAGTGAAGTTGTTATAACCCTGATCTTCCAAATTCAATCCAGGGCTCCACGCTCCACTTCCTTCCACTTTCTTTCTTAACAGAAAGAATGAGATTTTTCAGAACACTAATGGCATTCAGTGTCCAAGAGTAAACTACACAGTCAGGATAGCACAGGATAAGATGAAAACTGTAATAACACACCTTGTTCACTAGTAGAGAAGAGTTTAAAAATAAGAGAACTTCGAAAAATCCAATGTACAAATCTTTTCCTCCTGCTACATACATTTGTGGGGGCTTTTCCCCTCCTTCAAAAGCTGAACTGTACCCACCCAGCACTCAGTGGCAGGAAACAAACAAAAACATGAACAACAACAAACTATTACAGAATGAGAAAACACCTTTTTACATTAATTCTTAAATTAAGAGCACACTGAATTAGAAATTTAGATTTATTCTAACAAAACTAACATCCCCACATTTATGGTTGCTAAGATTTCTTCTCTCAGATTCCTCCAACACACACCAGCATTTCTCACCTTCAGCAATGAAACTCAACTAGTCAATACATTTTCTAATTTTCCTACCTTTGCAAAATATAAATCTTTTGTGATTAAATGAGTTTCAGTGGTGGTTATCTTAACTCATGCCTTTGACAAAACCCATCGCTCCCCCAGACCACAAACGTTTAAACAGAATACAAGAACCACCCGACGCTGTTTTCTAAACCTTGCACTTTCCGAAAGAATGAATGCTTCTGAAATAAAGTATGACCAAGCACATGAACACAAAGGAAAGGTAGGAAAAAAAAAAAAAAAAAAAAAAAAACCCACAAAAAACAGATTTAAAATGTATTTGATCTCCATTCCCCATGCCACTGTATTTACAAGTTACTACACATCAGCACAAATTAATCCACCTGAGATTTCTATAATTAAAGATGTTAATATTAAATTCTGAAATTAAGTTTTTGCTTTTTAGTAGACATAGTAAAAAGGAAATAACAAGACCACATTTCCCTCTCTAAGCATTGTTAAAAATTCTAATGATCTGCTGAGAAAAATTCCTCTCTACAAAATCCCCAAGAGATGTCCAAAGCAGCACATTGAGAGCAGATGGCCAGCATCAAGCCTGCAATTACCAGTCTGGCCTGGCAGTCCCGCAGATCAGGTCAAAGAAAAAGATTCTTTTCTTTTTGTGGGTGTGGGGAGGGAGCAGCTGGAGATGTAGACAGCTAGGTATCATAGGCAACTGCACTTTCCACTAAAAATGTACATAGAGTCAACATCCAATCCTGTCATACACTCCTTCCACTATCTTTCACTTTACGTTTCCTTCTTTTCTCCTTTAACGTTTTCTTTCTGCTAAAAGTTTCTTAAACAAGGTGGCAGGAAACATAATATTAAAGATATAGAAAAATTGACCATTGCATGTAAGTACCACCAAACACACAAACTTCATAAACCAGTTGCTGCCATTTCTCCCTCTTCACTTTCTATCTGAGAAACTCCTAATGCAGCTTGCAATAATACCCTACACAAAGCACACAAATGATCAGAGTCATTGGATAGCAACAACTGACTTTCAAACTTGTGGCTGCATCAGTGTCATCTCCCTCCCCACCCCCATCAAAGAACAGCTATTTTGGTCTCCTCAGTCAGGAGAACTATCTGACGAAGAGGTGCTGTTTCATTTCCTTTTCTTACTCCCTCCCCTCAGATGGTAAAGCCCTCAAGAGAAGAGACAGAAAAAAAGAAGCAGGCAAGAATGGTTTCAATTCAGATACTGCATTTTAAAATACTGTTCTACAACACATGGGCAAGTCAGCTTGTAAATACATATACAGTAAGCATGAGAGCTTTATTCTCCCTACAATTCCAATAAAAAAGAAAAAAAGCAGTAAGACTTCCATATTAATAACCATTTAATATTTCAATTTTATACCAAAGAACTTGCATATTTAAATAAAAACATTTTGCCAAGCCCAGTAAAGGTTTAAAAATAAAGTACGTGGAAAGAAAGTTGTAAGGAGTCTCTGACAGTTCCTTTCTAACTGACAGACAAAACAGGAAGAAGGGCAGCAGACAATTCCCTCATCTACTAAAACTAACCAGTGTTGCAATAGCTAGACCTCTCCTCAGGAACACTCAGCCCTCGTGTATATTATCCTGTTTTTCATACAGTACAGCATCCTTTTCTTCACTTCAACTGATTCTCCTTGTGCTACCTCATTTCAGCTGTCCACTCCTCCACACAGAAGAGCACTGAAGAAAGTTATACTACAAGCCTACTTTCATTTCTCTTACTCTTGAAAATCTTACTGGGACATGAGGCTTCACAAGAAGGCAATCTCAAGCTCTCCTCACTTCTCTCCTCCTGCTATTTTCACACGTCATAGACAGGGCTGTAATTTTATGGAGATGCTGCTGCCTTAAAGGCTGAAACCTTACCTAACAAGAGCAACTTAGAGGAACCATAATTTAATATAAATTGAGTTTTGACAATCTTTAGATAGTTGATACGCCCCCAAAAGATCTTCGATTAATTGGCCTTCTAAAGGTACCTCAGTCAGAAGAGGAAAGTTCAGGGGGGTGTGATCCTATGATTAGGCGTCAAATGCCATGCAGTAAAATGCAAACCTGTTTCCTCAAGAGAAGTAACGAACTGAAGAACAGTAACCCTGTTTTCCCAAAAGTCCCAGTAAGATTTCATTGCTGGTGCGCATAAAAATGTGAGAAAGCAGTGCCCCAACTCCTAAATTTCTTTCTTCTGTTTTTACCAGCTGTTTACCAAGCACCACTGCACAAGATATTATTTCCCTGTTCAAGTCTGGCACCTCTTCTAACTGCAGCTATCAAAAGATGAAACAGTTACCAGCTTTGTTGCAGAAATGCAAGTTAACAAGCACAACTCATGCAGAAGTAAACTAATTAAGCCTTGCCAAAACAAAGACTTGGTCCAGTCAGAAAACTATAGAACTGCATGCTCTCGACAGCTCTGGAAAAAAATCACCATGATCTTCAGAAACATACCTTCAAAACAGTTTGGATCGTTTCTCTCTCAGAAACATCCAAAGTTTAACAGTGTACACTCACCTTCCACACTATCAGAACAGGAGGTACCAATCCCAGTGTCCCCGCTGTCGGAAGCTATACTGTGTCTTCTGACAGGATTGTTTTGACTGCTTGACGCAATGGTTGCGGGCTGCCACAGGGAATCAGTACCAGGTAACCATCCCACAGAGGAATAGTCTGAGCCTATAAAGAAGGAAGCCAGAAGTCTGTCATTACAGATACAGAACAGAATTCAACAACAAAATACCTGTCAAGGTGAAAACTGAGCCCTGTCTTTCACAGATTAGGTTTGAAACAATCTGTGCCAATGTTCGGTTTTTCCTAAATTGCAGTCCTTTTGTTAAGAGGAATCTTTCCAAGAAGGTCCAGTAAATACGCTTTTACTACTTAAAAACATAGTCCTTAAACTGTTCTCATGGTAACCTTACCAAGATACTTATCATGCATTTCTTATCCTAGAGTTGATTCTCAACATACAGCAGGATTTTGCACTGCAAGCATTTAGCTACAAAGAAATAAATGTGTTCCAGCAGCAGAAACCGGCTGAAGCATTTGCAGTTGAAACAGTCATTTCCAACTGCATAAACCACACATGACTGAGATTATAAAATAAAGCCAGCACTGGTATCTAAAGTCATCTGTTATCTTTTTGTGCTATATCACAAGATGGCCTATTAAATCAAGCAGGCACATAGGCTTTGTGAGAATCCTATATATCCAGGGTTTGCTATGTTTTGCTTTAAAAAAAAAAAAAAAAGTTTGAAAGATTATATTTTAAAGCACAATTTAAAGCAGCAAATAGTTTCTCTGCTCAAATAATTGTTGAAAACACGTCCTATTTTATAGTTGATCAGAAGTGGAAAATAAAATCCAGAGAACAACCCCAAAGGACGATCACAATTTCTAATAACCATAATCTAAACCTATGCACAGCCTACAGGCAGCATACTGATTGTCATATTTGCACTCCACATCAGCAGAGGCACATAAAGAACTCTGGAGATAAGCACAGCTCAGGTTTGATGTTCTACATAGCTGCTCACATACACCCCCTCTAGCATCAAGCTTTGCATAACACTTTCAGCAGGAAATGACTCAAAGAACTATCAGCTCACATACAGTGTCTCTTAGGTTACACATGAGTATTCTTAGATCATTTAAACATTTTCAGCAGCATCCAAAGCCATAAGAGCAATTTGTCTGCACAAGGACTTTCATAGCTCCCTGTACTCTTCTCACAATAAATCAAGTAGCTCAGAAAATGATGTAAAAATGAATATATATATCAACCATCCCCAAACACATTTACCTGCAGAAGTATGAACATGTACATACTTCCCATCTAGCAGTGAAATCAAACTTACCATCCAGAGCAACAGCAGCTGCTCACAAAACCACCTGTAAAATGAGGTATGCTGTACGCACTTCCTTACTGAATGCTGCAATTAAGTGTAGCATGACATCTAAATTTACCTTCTGTGTAGTTCCTGGAGGTTTTCAATATCTCTGCCCACTTGTCTCAACTTCAACCTCTACTGAGAGTTTCCTCTCCTTTCCATTAACACATGTTCTTGCCTTTTCTCTTGCCTCTCTAGTATCTCATTAACTCCTCTTTTTTACCCAAGCCTTGTGCAATGCATAGCCTTGTGCAATGCATTTCCTTTTCTTCCTCAAACTGCTTGCCTTTTCTCCCAAGAGCCTCTTAACTCTTTATTATCCCTTAGAATACCTTTCAAGCTCAAGGATCAGGCAGCAAAACCTAAAACCAGGGAAACAGGCATGAGTGCCCATGGCTTGCCAGATGCTAGGCTCCAAGATGCCAACAGGGTGCCATTCCAGTACCATTCCTCTACCACCCTCTCTGTATCACCATCAAACATATTGCCACATGGCAGTTTCACAAACAGCTGGTGGGAAACTGGGACATTTCTTCCTCTTCTGCCACCCAGCACTTGGTTCATTAAACACACTGGCTTCTTTGGGAGCAGCAGTTTTCTTCTCCCTCTCTATAAATAGCTTTGCTCTCATTAACAGTTCGACATTACACCTCTCAAACTGTATCTAACTATTCCAGCAAGAACTGAGTTGACTTATGAGAGCCTAAGCTAATTAAGTCTGAGGCAGTTCTAATGTAGGAGACATTTAAAATACAGTTATAGAAGAGAAATTCAGTTTACTTTACCCTTTATTATATTTTTCTCCACATTACGCCTCTTTGGAGGCTTTCAGCTTTTATGGCACTAAACAAGTGTTAATAGAACTGCAGCAAACAAAGTTACTACCACTGCAAGTTAAATCAATGCATTAAGTGCAAAACTCTTTTGACTTCTTGGTTAGAGAGATCTTCAGTATCTGGACATATATTCATCTAAGCACACGCTCTCAAAAGAGACAGAGTAATAAAGTTATTACTAACAGTAAGAAAAACTTCAGCATAAAATAGCACAGAAGAACAGAATAACATTGGTGAGTAAGGACATTCGGAGGTCATCCAGTCCAGCCAGCTGCTTAAAGCAAAGCTAATTATAATTAGATCAGATTGCTCTGGGACACATCCAGCTGAGCCTCAAACATCTCCAGGGACACATGACACAACCTTTCCAGACAACCTGGTTCAGTCTTTAATCATTTTCAGTGCAAAGATGATCTTCCTAACACCTCATGAGCATCTCTCATGTTGCAACATATCTCAGAAGATGGAACAGCACAGCACAGCTAGAACATACAAACAGTGCTAACACAGTGGGGTGTAGACAATCATCCCAGCACAATCTCTATAGTTACTGTAATTCGAGGAAATAGAAAGCATCCAAAGGTGTTTTGGGATATATTCTTAATTTTACACCTACAGGCACAAAGATTATGAGTACTTCAAGCTTCAGTTGCTGCAGCACGGTCCAGTGGGAAAGAACAGCAAAGAAGGAACACACCACTTTTGGGGCATGTTTACATTTCCAGGAACTGGAGAACATTTTCAAGTTATGCTGTAAAGACTGATTCTTGAGACAGCAGCCCTGAATTGCTCAGTGCTGGTCCACGTACATACCTTCACACAGACCAGCATGAGTGCAGTGCAGGTTCATTAGCTTCAGCTCAGCTCAGGCTAACCAGACCCTAGCTGGCTTTCAGGGAAGTACTTGTGTCTCAGCACTGTGACCAAGGCCACAGAAGGTCTCCTGGCTGTGGCACTCCCTCTCCTTATCCCATTGCGCCTGGCTGGCTGCATGTAACAGTCCATATGAGAAAGCCTTTCAAAGCTAATGGAACCCAGTCCCTGAAACGGCAATAAATAAATAAAGCAGCAAGATAGTAGAAACACACTCATTAAGAAAGTCTCATCAGTAAGCTAAGGGTTTTGTCTGGTACAAAGTGCCAGACAACAGACCAACCCTCCATTACTGAGGGAAGAATGTTATGCAAGCTTCATTGAGGAAACATAACCCAAAAAACCTTATAGACCCCTCCATCAGTCCAAGTCAGTATTTAAAAACCAATTTACTAGTTTCACATTTGGCACAGTCGTTCAGAGCCAAGTACTGAGGAACCACCAATCATTCTGTATTCTGATATGCTTCCCATCTCTTTTTTAGCAGCTCTCTGTAAAAATACGATCTTCCACACAGCGAACAGATGACACTAAATAAATCGAGTGTAAAAGGAGAAAGATACACAGGACTGCCCTTGCTGCTCAGCTACACACCTGATTCCACCTGCTGCTGTGATCACCAGCCTGCCTATCAGCAGCCAGCATCCATCTGCCCAAAATACGCAGTGGGGCAAGAGAAGCAAGCCAAAATTTCTAATATGTGCCACCAGACTGTAAGTTACCATTTGACTGTGATCATGGCTTACCGCTACAGGAAAATCTACCTTCCACAGAATTTAATAGGAGAAAAAGAAAATAAAAGAAATGGCATCCTACCTGGCCATGGTTTCAAATAATGCGACAAACAGACTACAGCCAAAATCCCAAATATGAAAGAGACTTGTTTATACAAGCAGTTGATTGCACCCTTGAATTTAGCCAGCTAACTTTACTGGCATGGTGCTGTCTCTCCAGCCAAAGCATTTAAAGCAGATCAGTAAACAACAAAACAAAGGAAGTGCAGGAAGCAACTTACTCATTAAAGGACAGCAGTGGTTGAAGTTACACACTACAAGAACATGCACCTTTTTCTCTGTATTACAGACTGTTGGCAGGAAGGTAGCTAGTTAATTCTGGATCATTACCACTCTGGCATGCAAAGACCCCAGATGATCAACATACACAAAATAACAGCATCACGATCTTTGTATTTGGTTGCTAAAATACCTCTAACATGCCCCAAAATACAAAAATTATTTTTAAGTGGCAGCTATTACATCTACCTAGATGCTGATAAAAACACAACACCAGAAGACTTAACTGGCTTCTATAGCCAACTTCTCTATTTCACAGCATGATGCTGACACAGACTGTGACCAGAAGTGAAATACCAGTGACAGCCGGTGCGAGTGCATACAACTAAAGGATTCTGAAAGGGAGGTTTTACTACAGTGCTATCAAAACCTCACAACTCAATGCTTTTTCTAATCAGCATGGACGTGACCAGGCTATAAAACAAAATTTCACACCATGATGATAGCAGAACCTGCCTAAAGCTGTTCCATGGACAGAGCGAAACATTCAGTCCTAGGGAAGTGTTTGCTGGTCTACAGGAATAAAAGGTGAGGATTCCTGAGAATAATAATGCAAAACCTGGCATGAACTTCAACTCTCATCTTTCTGCAAAACGAGCTCTTTTATTAATAACAAGTGTCCAAAACAAGCTCCAGGTCTACAATATAACTTCTTCTAATATCCTGTGTTTAAGATGAGCAGTGGTATGGAAAAAACTGAGTTTCCTAATGTTTTCAGGAAAACAGCCAGATGACAGTGTGAAAATGCTCTTCACAATGCCCCGGAGGTGGTGGAAGCTCACAGTTCTGCTCACTGGCATGAACCAAAGCACCAGAAGGTCCCAGCCCCCCCCCCCTCCTACCAACACAGCTGAGAGTAGGTGGGTGACGCGGCTTCATGTCAGTGCATGAACAAACAGATAAGTGGGATGAAGTGACAGCCTTAACTACTGAATCTATATATTTCAGTTTATCCAAAGCACTTTACAGTGTCAGATAGCAGAAATATGATTCATCCTGAGAAC